CAAGATAATACATGCAAATATATGTGAGGTAATGTCAGGAACAGATATGTTAAGTATTTTCTTTTGGAAAAAACTGTCACATTTTTGTTAAACATTAATGTAAACAATGTATGGGAAACACTTGGGAGCTGCTGATCAAAATACCTTTCTGTTGATAACTTGATTTAGTAGATGAGACAAAAAGCTTTTCCCTTTGAAGCTGTTGGCTTAAATAAGCTCAAGGTGAGTGCTATCTTAGAGAAGGCTCCAAAGAAATGAGTGATTTCATCTCCTGTAGAACTCCCACACCATCAAGTTCAACATGTCCCTGCTAGAAATGTCTGTATTCCTAACAGTCTCGGCAAAGTGATGAAAAATGGCATGAGCTTGATTACATACTGTTCTTTTCCAAAGACAACCAAATCTTAAGCTCCTGAAAGAGGACTGCAAATACCTTATCTATTTACTTTAGAAGATACACTTTCTGAAAGCACTCCATAACTAAATAAACTGTATTTTCCCATATTAATAATTTTGAAATCTGCATTTTCAACCTTACAACTCACAAAAGAAAGCAAAGATGCAGAAATAATTCCATCAACTTAGTAATTCCAGGAAGGCAGCAGGTTTATCCCATAAATGCTATATATTAAGGATAGTATTTAATTAAACAGTATTTAATTAGGCAGCATGGAGCTGTTTTCTAATAAACACCATAAAGGTTGTATAATTAAATATTTTATCAGAAATAGGTATTATTATTTAGTTATTTCCCCTTTCCATTCATGCTGCACCAATTTGTACCACTACTTCTTTTGCTAGTTAGGTATCTAAGGAGAAGGGTGTTTCTGTACATTTGGGATTCATTCCTTGTATTCAAAGAAAGGCAAGATTTCATCTGTTTTTCTGTGGATGTACACTGGATTTAGGGGCTTTTCAGTTCCCTTTAATTCTTACACTCATCTTTCTTGAAAGTAGCAGATGGAAATGATGATGTGCCATCAGTCTCACCACTGTGCCTAACGTTGTAAGTCATATAAAATAAGGAACAAATCTTTTGGCTCAGTTTTCATTCCTTGATAATGCAATAGGACTTCAGGGCCTTGGGTCAACTGGTTCAGGGCTCAGGAGCCCAAGTAGTGCTCTTGTTCCTCCTGACAGTCACAATCAATGACAATGGCTACATCAGAAAAATCTCACTAATTAATTCCTGGCTCTGTGACTGGTGTCAGTGTAAGAATTTGGGGGGTTTTGACCATCGGTTAGTCTACACAGCACCAGGCCTGCTGGAGGCAGATGGGTACGTCTGTCCCAGAGGGGAAAAGGATTCTAACCCAGGAGCTAGCAGGGCTTATAGAAAGGGCTTTAAACTAGACTTGAAGGGGGAAGATGGTAACACCAGGCTCACTAGAAATGAGCCACAGGGTAGCATGCTGCTGTTGGAGTCCAGATCCACAGGATAACTTAAATGCATTTATGCCAATGCCAGCAGCATGGGCAACAAGTGGGAGTAGCTGGAAGTCATTGTGCAGCAGGGAAATCATGACATAATCACCATCACAGAAACATGATGGAATGACTGGAGTGTTGCAATGGATGGCTACAGGCTCTCCAGAAGGGATAGGCAAGGAAAAAGAGGTGGCAGGGTTGCATTTTGTATCAGGAAGTGCATCAAATGCCTAAAACTTAATATTGTGAGTGAGAAGGATGAATGTGGGTAAAGATCAGGGGGAAGGCCAACCAAGCAGATATCCTGGTAGGAGTCTGTTACAGACCACCCAGCCAGGGTGAAGCTACAGATGACATATTCTTCAAACAACTGGGAGAAGTTTCATGATCGGTTGTCCTTCTTCTCGTGGGGGACTTCAACCTACCCCACCTTCAGCCTGCCTGCTGAAGAAACAATCCAGGAGGTTCTTGGAGGGTGTGTAAGATAAATTCCTAAACCAGCTGGTTAGTGAGCCAGCTAGGGGAGATGCCTGGCTAGATCTGCTGTTCGCAAATAGAGGACTTGTGGGTGATGTAATGGTTGGAGGCCATCTTGGGGAAAGTGATCAGAAAATGACTGAACTCTCAACCCTTGGAGAAGTCAGGAAGAAGGTCAGCAAAACCTCCACTTTAGATTTTTGGAGGGCTGACTTTGGCCTGTTTAGGATGCTAATCTGGTTGTCAGAATTCCTTGGAAAACATTACCAACGGACAAAAGGGTCCAAGAAGGCTGGACACTCTTCAAGAATGAAATCCTTAAGGTGGAGGAGCAGGCAGTCTCTGTGTGGAAAATCAAACTGGCAGGGAAGACCAGCCTGGCTGAACACGAAGATATTGCTGGAACTCAGGAAAATAAAAAGAATTTATCACCTGTGAAAGAAGGGACTGTCACCTCATGAAAAGTACAAGGATGTTGTTAGGCTATGTAGACAGAAAGTTAGAAAGGTGAGTGCACAGATGGAACTAAATCTGGCCACCGCCATAAAAGATAATAAAAGTACTTTTACAGATCTATTGCCAATAAAAGGAGGGCCAAGGAGAACCTTCCTTTATTGGATATCAGGGAAAACCTGGTGACTGAGGATGAGGAATAGGCTAAAGTACTTAATGCTGCTTTTGCTTCAGTCTTTAACAGTCACACCAGCCACTGGGATCAGGCCCAGTCAGCATGGGTTCATGAAGGGCAGGTCCTGCTTGACCAACCTGATCTCCTTGTATGATAAGGTGACCCACCTGGTTGATGAGGGCAAGGCTGTGGACATTGTCTACTTGGACTTGTGTAAAGCATTTTTGACACTATCTACCACAGTGTTCTCCTTAAGAAACGGCTGCTCATGGCCTGGATAGGTGGATTCCTTGCTGGGTTGGAAACTGGCTGGATGGCCAAGCCTACCAGGTGGTTGTAAAAGGTATCACATCTAGTTGACGACCAGTCGCTAGTGGTGCTCCTCAGGGCTTGGTGTTAGGGCCAGTGTTGTTTAATATCTTCACCGATGATATGGATGAGGGGATTGAATACACTCTCAGTAAATTTGCAGATGAGACGAAGCTGGGTGGGATCAACCCAAGCTCAGCTGATCTTCTTGAGGGAAAGAAGGCTCCACAGAAGAATCTGGACAGGATGGATCGATGAGTTGTGGCCAACGGTATGAGGTTCAACAAGGCTCAGTGCTGGGTCCTGTATTTGGGCCACAACAGCCCCATGAAATGCTACAAGCTTGGAGAAGAGTGGCTGGAAAGCTGCTTGGAGGAAAAGGCCCTGGGGCTGCTGATTGACAGCTGCTGAACATGAGAACCTTGTGTCCAGGCAGCCAAGAAGTCCAACGGCATCCTGGCTTGTATCAGAAATAGTGTGGCCAGCAGGGCCAGGGCAGTGATCATCCCCCTGTACTAGGCACTGGTGAAGCCACATCTTGAATTCTGTGTTCACTTCTGTGCCCCTCACGACAAGAGAAACATTGAGGTGCTGGAGTGGGTCCAGAGAAAAGCAATAAAGCTGGTGAAGGGCCTGGAGCACAAGCCTGATGGCTGAGGGAACTAGGGTTTTTTTAGTCTAGAGAAAAGCAGGCTGAGAGGGGACTGTGTTGCTCTCTACAACTACCTGGAAGGAGGATGCAGCAAGGTGGGGTTCAGTCTCTTCTCCCAAGTAACAAGTGATAGGACAAGAGGTAACAGCGCCAAGATGCACTAGGGGACGTTTAGATTGGATATTAGGAAAAATTTCTTCACAGAGGGTGATCAGGCATTCGGCCAGGTAAGTGTAATCACCATCCCTGGAAATGTTCAAAAACTATTTAGATGAGGCCCTAAGTGATATGGTTTAGTGGTGGTCTTAGCAGTCCTGGGGTAATAGACTTGATGATCTTAAAGGTCTTTTCCAACCTAGTTGATTCTATAATTTTATCGTTCTATGATTCTATGACTGAGTAGTGTGACCTAAAGAGAAATAATAGCATCTCCCCAGTGTACCAGCCCCATATAAGACTGAGTGTAGATGTCTTCTGAAGGAATTTCTGTGGTCCTGTTCACTGCCTTGTAGAACAAGTGCTGCCTTTCAGCCACAGACTGGCTCCTGCTGATTCCTCATAGTTTAAATTCACTACACTCTTCAGCTTTTTACTCTCATCCCTAGATGCTTGAACTCAGGAAAAAGACCATTAAACATGAGTATTTTAAGCTTAGTACAAAATTCTCATTTGAAATGAGGAGCTATAGGTTAGGAATTCCCTGCACACTGCTTAGCTGCAATTTCAGAGCATGATTAATTTCTCAGTGCAAATCATCAGGCAGAAACCCGCAGGGGTTCCTCAGTTGTGCTTAAAGCAGAAGATTGAAACAGAGGAGTGCTCATTCATAGATGAGATCGTAATTTTACTAGTGAGTTACACATGCAAATTTTTTCTCCTTATCAAGACGTACCACTTACATTTATATGTGGTTTTCTATTCCTTTCAGATGCTGAAGTGTGAGTATCGGGATCTCTAGGAATATGCTGTATACAGCCAGAAAAACAATTTGCAATGGAGAGGAATGCACAGAAATGCAAAGCTTTTTCACAAAACTTCATTGCCAGAGCATTGCCTTCCCCTCCCTCGCATTGCTGCCAACCTCTCAGCAGCAGCCACACGAACCGAGACACACAAAACATTTGCAGCCAGTAATACCTGATGATAACCTTGACTATAGCATACATCATCATTACCGCTCCTTAAGGCGGGAGGCATCCGCGGGCGCAGCGCACCCGAACCCTGCCGGCAGCGGGAGCAGGCGACCACTCAGTTTCCCTGCCGTTCTGCCCACTGGGAATCTTTCTTCCCGCCTTTGCCAGATGTGACCCTACTTCCCTCCCTCCTGCCCTCCCTCCTTTTCTCCTTCCCTCTTCACAGCTCTCAGCGGTCTCGCTGTCCAACCCGGTCAGCCGCTCAACGCCGCCGCCAGGTGGCGCCCCACCACCGCTCTTGGCGCGGAGCTTCGGGAGCGGCCGGGAGCGGGTTAGGGAGCGGGAGCAGGTTCTGGACCACAAGCGGGGTCTGGAAGCGGATGCGGCTCTGGGAGCAGAGCCGCCCCAAGGAAGAAACAGTTTAATAAAGGCAATGAAGGCGGATCCGCCACCTCCCGCTGGGCGCCGAGTTTCAGGGGTCCAGGCATGGGAATGTGGTGCGCAGCCTGAAGTACCCCAAACACCGTGTCCTTGTTAGTGCTATATATATCATCATCATCATTATTAAAGTCTATGAATCCAGCTAGTGGTGACGCGCGGCCCGACGGCAACAGTGGCCCGTGAGTGCCAGTGTGTCAGCGGCGTTTGTGCCGGGGATACTCAGCCCCACGGCTTTAAATAAGGGGGGGGCTACGGCATTTCCCCGCCACCGGGGTCACCCTGCCCTGCTGCGGGGCGCCCTGGAGAGGCCGTCCCGGTGGGAGCTCCGCGCCTCGCCGCTGCTGCTCGCGGGGTGCGCGGGTGCGGGGCGGGGGCTGGGGTGAGGGGTGTGCCAGGGCCGCGCTCCACTCCGCTCCCGGCGTCTGAATCCCTGCCGGGTGCGAGTGTGTGTGTGTGCTCGGAGACGGGAGGAGGGAGGAAGTGGGGTGGCGGTGGTAGCGGCTGGGGGGGTGGAGGGGGGGAGATTATTGGCAATGGGCGGGAGAGAAAGAGGCGACTCCTGTTTCCTTTTCTTTCTGCCAGCGCAATCTCGGCTCATTTTCTCTAAGCAATACAAGTTCACGGACGAGCTACCTAGCCAGCCCTCCTCTCCTGTCATGGACCTCCCAGGTAAAAACGCCGTTCTCCTCCCCGCTGGCTGGTCCTTTCTCAAAATATCATTTTAAATAACAGCAATAATAAGATGCGGGGTTAGGGCAGCAGTAGAGATGCCTCGGGGAAGTGTAGGGGGGATCTCCCAGGAGCGAGATCTCGGGGTGTTCTGGTGAGCGGGGAAAACTGAGATGCAACTTCCCAGGGAGACGACGAGTGAGGTTTTGCCTCTTGTAATGTGCATGCTGCCAGGGTGGGAGCCGAGGGGTGCCTAAGCCGCTTTTTTCCAAAGGGTTTAGGAGGCAACGGGGGTAACCTAGCCTGGGGAACAAGAGGTTGGGAAGTACAAGCTGGTGCGCGAGCGCAGCACCTCCAGGCAGGGAGGGCGGCGGCAGCTCCCAAAGCCCAGTCGGAGCAGCGCCACGGCGAAGGCGAGGGCTGCGGGGAGCCCAGGGCCACACGAACCCTGGGAAGGGATAGTGGGGCAGCTCCTGCGAGGGGGAGAGGGCGCATCACTAGTAATAATAATAATGACGATAAAATCTCCTTTCGCAATGGCTGGGGCGTTAGGAGACAGACATAAACCAGGCTCGCAGATGTAGTAAAAAGTGGGGCTGTGGGAACGAGCCGGATTTTGGATGCTCCCTCGGCTGTGGGGTGAAAAGGGACCGCCCGAGAAGCCCGCAGACTGATCCACCGTGGGTTCAGGACGAAACCTGCCGCGGTGCCCCCTCCTCCCGGCTTAAACCACGGGTGGGGCTGCGGGACTTCCCGGTGCTAGGGGACGGGAGACACAGAAGACACGAGGAGGCGCTAAGCAGCGAAGTCTCTCCCAGGGAGACCTGTTGGGCCGACGGGAGGCTGCCGGGCGGCGTGGAGCCCAGCCTTTCACCGCCAGCCCCTCTGCTTCACCGCTGCCTTTGCCCTTGCCAGGCTGCTGCCCGCCTCCCGCCCTTTGAGGAGGCTCCTTCGTCCCGCGCAGCGGCGGAGGAGGAGGAGGAAGAGAGAAGGAGGAGGAGGCGGAGAAGGGGAGGAAGGCGCGGCCCCAGCCGCCGCTGCCCAGCCGCCGTCCCGCAGAGCGCTGGCCGCCGGGCGCCGCGGCGGCAGCAGGCGCGCAGCCCCCTCCGCTTCCCCGCGGCTGCCCGCATGGCGGCGGCGAGCCGGAGCGGCGGCGGCCGGGCGCTGGGCATGGGGCGGCGGCGGCGGGGGGCGCTGCTGGAGCCGGCGGGAGGCTGCTCCTGCTGCCTGGCGGCGGCGCTGCCGCTGTTGCTGCTGCTGCTGCCCGCCGGGTGCCCGGTGCGGGCTCAGAACGACACAGAGCCCATCGTCCTGGAGGGGAAGTGCCTGGTGGTGTGCGACTCCAGCCCCTCGGCCGACGGCGCCATCACCTCCTCCCTGGGGATCTCGGTGCGTTCCGGCAGCGCCAAGGTGGCCTTCTCGGCCACCCGCAGCACCAACCACGAGCCCTCTGAGATGAGCAACCGCACCATGACCATCTACTTCGACCAGGTCAGCCGACACCCGCTTTGCCTTCGCAGCCCCACACTCTGCGCGTCCGGCCCCTAGCCTCCTTTGCGCCGCCATCCCCGCCCCTGCACCCAAGCTTTAGTTTCTGCTCACCTTTCATCTTTTAATCCTCACCCACCCGCTCAATAGCATTTTTTTACAGCTCAACTCCCCAGAAAGAGTTTGGGAAGTTCTTTTAGGTGGCTGCGGGGCATTCTTCGGGTGTGTTGTGGGTGGGAGGGCGACGCCGGCTTTTTGTCCCGTCTCATCGCTGCTACCGAGAGGGCTTTAACGTGCAAGTTTGTGCCTCGGGCGCTTGTGGGGGCGCTTTGCAGCCGAGGGTTGCCCCAGGTAGTCAGGGATGACCCGGGGAGAGGGTGCGCACTCCCCCTGTCCCCATCGGTGCTCCGTCTGAGATGTTTTATTTTCAGGGCAAGGAGAGGACAGAGATTTACCGACGAGGAATTGCCGGGGCTGCCTGTTCCAAGCGCATTTGGCAGTGTTACAGCACTTCTCAGGGGGAGGGAGGGCTGAGGAAGAAGAGGGTGTTCCCCGCTTTATCAAACGAGGCGAACACTCTCCCCGGTGGGTTGTAAATGAGCGGTGTTACCCTGCGCGCGGTATGCCGGGCACAGAAGCGGACAGCCCGGGCTGCTGGTCCTGCCCCTTCCTCTCTTCGCTGCTTGCCTCCCGGAGCCTGTGTCCCGGCGTACCGCTTGACTTTTGCGACGAAATTCACTTTTTTCCTGCCGCCTCTTACACCTGAAGTAGTACTGCGGAGTCAGCCAAAATTAGCATACGCAGACTGTTTTCTCTGCTTTAGTTTTTGTTTTCATCTGTCTGGCCGCCTATCATTCATCTGTCTACCTGTTCCTCCTAATGAGTTTGCATAGCTACACCTTATAAGCTGTCATGAAGTCAGATCAGTAGAGGGGAAAAAAAAAATCAGCCAAGAGTTTGCTTCATGTGTAGCGTATTTTAGACACTGTTCATCAGTGTTCAGTTCTCAGGAGTTTGAAGGCTTTCCTCCCTCGGTGCTCCCGCAATAAGGGATTTTTTTTTTTTTTTTTTTCCCTTTCTTGGGAGGAAAGGGTCGGGATTTGCGGAGGGGATTGTTTTTTGTTTCCTCCCGCTTTGTATTTTGATCCATTAAAACAAAGGCTGTAGCCCGCTAAGCCGAGCGCGCCTGGGGTGCTGCGACGAGGAGCGGCGCGGCAGAGCAGCCGGCTCTGGCTCACCCCTCGCTCTACGGGCCTGCATGGTTTTCTCCCCTTGTTAGCCGTGCCTATTGCGCCAAACCAGGCTGGTGCCTGTGAAGAGAGGGAGCGATGAGCCTGTGCTGGATTCCCGTCGAAGTGTCGGGCTCGGCAGTCTGCGGGGCAGGATGCGGTTGCCGCTCTCAAGCAAGGCATCGCACATGTGCCAAAGGGCTCTACTCTTTTTTCTTGCCTTTAAAAGACACTCAAATATATGACAAATTAAGACTCTTGTAGGGGAGGAGGATGAGGCCTACCCCAGCCGCCTGAGGATGCGGGCCAGGCGGCACAGCTCTCCGGAGGGGCAGAGAGGCATGAGCTGACAGACGTTGCTGTTGCAGACCATTCTCTCTCCTCCATCAGTCATCTCATTAGGGCGATTTTCTGTACACTACTGAATTCGAGGGCAGGTTCGATTTCAGTAAAGCTAGATAAAAAACATATGTTTGCATTATGAGTTGATGAGTTTCAGGGTTTTTTTTCCCTTGCTTCTTTCTCCTCCCTCTTTTCCTTCCTTCCACTCCCCTCCCTTCCCCCGCTTCTGCCACCTTTGTTTTATTAACAGTGCAGTGTGGACATTTGCACTTCACCTAGCAGGCTTTGGAGACCATTATTGCATAACTGAATCGTTTTATGAACTGTGATGCTTTTTAAATGCCTCTGTAATTTGGCTCCTTTCCCCTGCAGTGCACTTTTAATTGTGCTGCAAATGCTATCTCTGCTAGGCTTTATATCGGTCATGAGCTCATGTAAGAGGTTCACTGATGGTTTTCTAAATGAGGTCTGATTTCTCTTTCTCCTTTTTTTGTTTTGTTTGTTTACTTTCCAGGTATTAGTTAATATTGGCAACCATTTTGATCTTGCTTCCAGTATATTTGTAGCACCAAGAAAAGGGATATATAGTTTCAGTTTCCACGTGGTCAAGGTCTATAACAGACAAACCATCCAGGTGGGTTCTGATCTAAAGAAGATGCTGTGTTTATTTTTTTCTACTTTTTGTTTTTCCTCTTTCAAATGCTTATTTCTAGAGACTAAGGTGCATTTACAAACCAGCAAGTGAAGAATAAGACTGTAGGTTACTTTAGTTAAAGGGGTCTGCATGCATGACAGAAATCATGCATTGCCTTAGCTTAATTTGACCCTGTTTCTAACCTGCACAAAAGCTTAGTGATATGTACAAGGCATAAAAGTCATTGAGAGTGTTGAGAAAACTCAGATTCTCTGTCTTTGCACTTTTTAGGTAAGTTTAATGCAAAACGGCTACCCAGTGATTTCAGCTTTTGCAGGGGATCAGGACGTCACCAGAGAAGCAGCCAGCAATGGGGTCTTGCTCCACATGGAAAGAGAAGACAAAGTGCATCTCAAACTGGAAAGGGGTAACCTCATGGGAGGGTGGAAATATTCAACCTTTTCTGGCTTCTTAGTCTTTCCACTATAAAAGAAGGCCAAATAGGCAGCAGATCTGTGAGCCGGAGGAAGGATTCAGTCGTTAATGACACCCTGATCTTGGCAGCACATGACAATATTTCCAGTCACCCCGTCAGACTGTCATGGTAGAAGAATGATAACCTCCTAAACTCCAACATTTGCTTTGAATATTGACAATTCCTCGGGAACCTGCGCCTCTAATTAGTTTTAGACGACAGTGATCTTTAGGAGAAATGAAATTATCGACCTGAGCAATTTGTACCTGTGATTGTAAAGTCAATTTCGGATTTTATTGCTGGGATCATTGACTTTCTTATTATTTTTTAATTTTTCCCCTCTTTCATTTTTTCCTCTTTTTTTTCTCTTGTCGTTGTCCCAGTGAGACAAATAACTCGGACCACACAATCGCTTTGTCAAAGGCTCAGTCCAGAGCCAGAAGAATGAAGTGTTCAGCCCAATGAGGTGTTCTTTCCATACTTTATTTCTCCGTGTTGTATAGCCTTAAGGGAAAAAAAGAAAAAAACCCAAAAAAACAGAAAAAAAAAAAAAAAAGAAAAAAAAGGCTTCAGTTTCAGTCCTGTATTTTTCTGGGGGAGGGGGATTCTGGACATTACTGTGTCAAGAAGTGCTTTATCAAGTGAAGCAAAATTTGCACGATTGGAACCTTATTTGTTTTGTGTTGTTCGTATTTTTCATCGACTTTCTTTTTCCTGATTTTTGTCTGTGTGTGCTAAAAATGTATGCTAGATTGATCAATAAGACAAAACGAAGCACATATATACCCTGTAGCTCTAGGTGAAGCTAACCAGTGAACAATTTTGTCTGCACTTTTCAGCTGATCTTTATAGACCTATTTAGAGAAAGGAGCGAGAGAGCTACATGATCCTTCAATTACAATCTGGAGACCGGTAAAGGAACTGACATTTCTGAATTGTCCTGACATTTCTAGAAGCAACAATGGAGGCTTTGAATATCTTCTCTGACCATACCCTAAAATATATCCTTTCTTTGCATTACTGAGTGTATTTTGGGTGGTTTTATCTGATATTTATTTGATGTATTTGTCCACTAATGCTTGAGTACACATTGTGGGAGCATGGAGAGATAGCAGAGCAAACTCTTCCTCTTCCAAGTTAAATAAAATCATCTCTACTTGACCTGTCCGTGGCAAGTATCGGAGGAGCTGACGCTAGCATCTTTGACAGCCTTTGGGAGAGGGGCCTCAGAGGATCAGCAAACGCACCAGAAGCTGCATGGGTGCCTTGCATTTGTTAGCCGTGTGTGCTCTTCCCAGTACAAGTGGCCTCAGAGTTCTGGTGGTGGACCAATGTCGGTATTGGAGGTTAGGAAAACTTAATACCCCAATTCACAAGAGGTAAAATATCAGGCCAACGTCAGTTGCATCATTTTGCCTCACTCTTAATAAACAGACCCTGTTTTTTCACTTTTTTTACGGAGGTTGGTGTATTATTGTGCTGAGGGAAACCTTGCTTGAGGACATCCAGAAAGAATGTTTATATTATTTTATATTTATTAATTTTTAACTTCATTTATTTAATTTTAAATAATTCATCTTGCTATTAATCCTGCAAGGGTGGATGTGTATAAGAATTTATTTTTTGTCAAATATACTCCTCTGCCACAAATATAATGCAAAAGCATTTGCAGCAAATCGGTGGTAGCTATGTTGTATTTCAAAATTATGGTGGACATGGCATTTTCATTGTAAATTTATCATTTAAGGGGCAAAGTCAATTAAAGTCATATATTCTTAAAAAAAAACAACCTTATCTGTGTTGCTTATGATACCTCAGATGACTAAACCGTAGGCCAATATAATATTTAATATTTTCATGTATTTTCAACATTGATGCTGTTTGTTTGCTTTGGTATTTTACTTTGCTGGCTACTGAATTAATGGGCTTCAGGTTTGTTTTTAATGGGTTATATTTTCTAGTTCTCCTTTTGCATTGGCATGACTGCAATGTTTCTATTTGCTAAAGTATCACAGGACTACATTTAAATAGATGAAATAAAGCCTGAGTCATCAGCGACCTTCTATTAAAATACAAAAATACAATTAAAATGGTTGTCTTAATGCTAGATACTGTAAAACTACTTTTAAATCTTAAGTTTTTGTGTTTAAAACTCGATCATGTCTCTCAAGAAAATATACACTGAGGTGGGTTCAAGGTCCCAGCTTTTCGGTTTCTATTCCGTTTCCTTAGTCTTATTTTGAAATTCTGCCTACTGTAATCACTTTCAGTTGTCCCATTTATCTCAGTTCGTTTGGTTTGATAAGGCAGTGGTATACTATTTCTTGATCTCTCCTTAGTTAAATGAAGCCAATGTCAAGATTTTCCTTGAACATATTCTTGGAAATCTCTTAAGCCACTTAAGCTGCAGAATCTGAATAACCTGCTTCATATGTTCAAAGTCAGTAATTTTGACCATGGTTATTTTATAAAGCTAAATATACAATAGCGAATCTTCTCTGAATTTGAAGAGGGTCTCTAATGTACTGCCTCTCTTCCTCTTCTACTGATGTGCCCTTCATGATAAGCTGTAGTGTTAGGCGTGTTATAAAAACAGTTAAATGGAATCCCTTTCTTTTTGTAAAATCCTCCTAAATCTAATAAGTTCCCTTTACATTTGCTAAATTTCCTTCTTTTTATATTCCTTGCAATATTCATTCATTTTTACTTAATTTCGTATCTGAGTTTGCGAAGGTGCAACCTACTTGTTCCTGGAAACAGTAGCTATTTTGATATACATATAAAGTGTGAATATCATGATGTATTTTATGTTAAAAGGGGAAAATGTGCAATAGCAGACTGAAGAATGCAACAAGAAATACTAGGTGAGACCACTTAAAGGAGCCTGACCAAACATTATGAGCAGGCTTATCTAAAATAAGTTATATAAATAAACTGATTGGGTAACATTGGGAGTTGGTGTAAATTTAATGTTGAGGTTCACCATGAGACTTAATAAGCTTAAAACACACATGGTAGTGAAGTAGGCCAATAGCACAATAATGGTTCTGGTTCCTGTGGGAGTAATATCAATATTCTTCCCAACAACTTTCAGATTTTCTCATAAGCTGCTGTGTAACACGATCATGAGATATTCCTATGAAAACACTTGTCTGTTTGACTGTTTCCCTTGCAGGAAACAATCTTCACCTGGGTGTTTTTGGGAACCAGTGCTTTAATGTTTCTTTATCATACTTTTGTCAGGGTAGAACCAGGACCTGTATTAGGAATGATAAATGCTCATCATATACTTATTGCCTTCCTCTTGGTTTTTGAGGTTTATATCTGTAGTTTGAACACTGTCTTGCAAACCCCTGTGTGCTCTCACATCACCCTGAGGGGTGATGGATGTGCAGTGTCTCTCATTATCGGTCAGCCTCTTGCAATCTGAATCTGTTTATTTTGGGTGGGAGAAGAGAGATGCAGAACTAGGAAGTTGTTTAGAATTTATGTTGTATTTGTTGGCTCTGTCTTTTTTAACTTCTAAAAAGAATTTTTTGTTTTTGTTGACCAAATTTATGTCTCGGAATATCTGCCAAAGTAGATAGGCTAAAAGGGCTTGCTTACTGATGGAGTTGCTTGGAAATAGCTGAAAGTGGTTTCATGTCCTTGTAACGTGACATTCGTTTCTGGACTAGGCAGGGTCACAGGTAGTGTTGTTTAAAAATAGCAGTTATAATTAATAGTCTGCTTTAGTCCAGGATAAATTTCTAGTGTTAACAAATACTCAAAAAATCAGTGTCATTAATATAGTTTTTAATTTTCATGGGTAATGACTGTCAGGTAAAGTCCATTAAACAGTTATGCATAATGAAAGGAGAAAAAAGGTCGCTCACATGTTTTTATTTATTGTTGAAAGTCCAGGGAATGTGTGAGGCAATGCATAGCTTCTAGATTTGGAAGCACACATTGTCTTGAACAATTGTTCCAGGATCATGTTTAATGAGATGCGTCATGCCCATTTTTAATCATGGTGGTAAATAACAGTGATTTATTGTAAAATACCCATTTTCTTAATGGAGCAGATTCTTTTATTTGACTTGTCTTTATCCGTCAGAATGCTCAAAACAGAACTTTATGATTCCTCGCCACCTCTTAACTAGGTCGCATTCATTAACAGGTTATAAATTCCTGAGGATTACTGATATTCATCGTGGCATTTGTTAGACACAGACTAAGTGGCCGGGCAGATGATAGGCAAACCTTTTGATCAGCTGCTCTAATCTTCAGCTCCCTAGTAAAATAAATACATTGTCATTTCAATGAAAAGGCTAATCCTGCTTGGTTTACCTACTTCAGTAAAGTCCATTCCTGTAGAGAGGAGGAGCTTATGAAAAACATCAATAGTATTTGTTCTGGATCATAGTGTTTGGATTTTGGTCATGATCTATGACGTTTACTTTGAAAATAAGTGACAATTAGTTCAAATCTTTAATTAACAAAAAATAATTCTTAAGGTTAAATGTCTTTCAACACATTGTAATTCTGATAATTTGATCAAAATCCTACAAATTGAATACATGTTTGAAATCCATTCTCAAAACAGTAACGTTTGCAGTCTTATCCACCACAATGATGATTTTTTTTCTTATTACCCATTATCAATAAAATCCAAGAAACACTAATTGCATTTTATACTATTTGAGCGTAATAATGAAAATGCACTTCACATACAAGTATATCTAACATACCCCATTTCTTCCTAGGTAACACACATTAAAGTATTTTCTACATCCCTTTTGCTATTAATCAGCAAAATAAAGTTGCCTAACTTGTTGGGTTTCTGCAGATCACGTACCACAGATAATAATAAGTAATAGCCTAGCAAGACATGGAGAAGCAAATAATGAGTACTATTATGAATTCTGCTTTAAAAAAAAGAATTATCTATCTGCATCAACAGAAATTCAGGTCATACTGACCAGTGTTCCAAAACTCAGGAAATATTAAAGATAAGTTTTTAAACTAATGTTACCAACTGATACTACTTCCATTGTTATAATGAAGTGTTATTTTTACTATGGGAATCTAAAAAATAATTATTCTTTTTCTGATGTCAGCTATATTAAAAGACTGTTATTCAGAGTGTTAATATAATGACTCAACAGAAACATAAGTTCATCAATTAGTAATTAGTAGTTTTTAGGTAACTCTCATCACAACTGCTGTATATTAGTTCATTGAAACTATGTCTTTGAAATGCTTTTATTATCTGTGTGCAAATATACACACAAATGCATACATGAATAATAAATATGTGTACATGCACATAAAACATTTAAGCTGGGAATGGATGAACAGAGAGCTGACTTTTTCATATATAGTTTGGTTTTCCTTTCTCCAAAGCATTACCCCAACAAATCAATTGTTATTTCATCTATTGTCATTCTAAACCTAAAACGTTTGTCTTTGCTTACATCCAAAAGTACATAGAGTAATAGCAAATGGCATTATATATTTCAGTGCTGAGAGCTGCCACAGCTTAGGTAATATTAAAGTGAAGCATGGAGTTATTAATAAAGAGTTTCATTACCTCAAGTTCTGTTGAAAGCTTTTGTGATGAGGGAACCTATAGTGCTGTGTGGGAATTGTTTCAAAACATCTTACAGGAAGATACACCAGACTGGAGCTTCATTTTGTCCTTCTAGTGACACTGGATGGGTGAACCGATAGTGCTGTGTGGGAATTGTTTCAAAACATCTTACAGGAAGATACACCAGACTGGAGCTTCATTTTGTCCTTCTAGTGACACTGGATGGGAAACCTGCAATATGTATTATAACTGCAAGCGAAAATATGTCCCTATATTTAATTGTTTAGCAGCAATAATCTTTAAAAGCTGATTTAATTTTGGTTGTGGAACTGTTTTCTGTACAGAGGTGCATTATACTGTCACATCTCAGAACTAAGAATAACTGACTTCAGTGGACAAAGGATGAGTGGTTTTCCAACTTTTTATTTGCTTACTAGGAGAAATAACCTATCAGAGAACTTACGTTGCTTCCACAGGCTTTTATACCAGAGAAAAGATGTAAGAAATGATTTTAAAAGAATCTTTCAAGTTCTCTTTAATTATTTGTTGTTACCAATAGCAGAATTTTCACAGCACTATTATTAATAATATGACTAGGAGTGGTTTAGGATGGAGTTTAAATGGATATAGGTAGATGCTCTAAAAGCTGGCTTCTTCCTTATCCTAAATTTTCTGGAGAATGTTCTCATTATACTTTATAATCTCTCTAGATACAACTGTTCCTCAAACTTGACTGCCTATGGTCTTCTGTATTTACTTCACCTGGGTAGGGAAAACATTTTTTCTTCTTTGCAATGGTTTCTATTGTTTTCTTATACTATATAGACTGTGCTAAAACCATCCAGTATAGAAAAGGAGATTCCCACTGCACTTGCCTCTCTGAGACACTTTCATTTCTCTTTTCTCCTTATGAATAGGAATCCTATTTTTCTTTTGCAGCCTGTTTAGAAAATACAGAACCTTTTGTATAGGTGTTAGGTTATTGGACAAAAGTGAGAAACTGGGTTTTGAAGTACCCAAGTGATTTTTTGACATGAACACCTTGCAAGAAAGAAGAGTCTGGAGGAATCATAGGGGAAGGGAAGAGAGACTCCTAACAAACAGAAAGGTTGGTAGCTGTTCTTTATGCACATACCAGCCTCAACATACATGTGTGAACCATGGTTATAAGTGACAAACATTTGTATGTAAATTTCTCTATTTCCCAGAGTTCTAACTTTGATGCAGTTAACAAAATCACATGAAAATGTGTATGCAGTTTAGGTGGCATTAAACGTGCACATATGATAAATAATTGTACCAAACTATAAGGACAGTGGATCAGTACAGGTATATTACACAGTGTATTCCACTAAAGTATGGAATGATGCACTATGTAACAAATATATAGGCTATTCCTGAGCAAACTTTATAAAATTAGAGAGGTACTAGAGTCAGAGATGAGATCGCAACTAATACAGTTCAGACCACTGGACACATTATACAAAGGGAGATAAACATTTTGGTATTTCTCCCTTTGCCTTTGTCAAGAAGTAGCTCACCTTAGAAAAACAAAAATGGAACCCACGTGTTTCCTGTCACATGTTTTTTACCTGTGCTACTGTTTTTCAGAGCCTGGTAGTTTATGTGTGAACTAAATGACTGAAAGTTGATTTGCAAATGTACTTTAGCATATTAAACCTGTAAGTCTCCGGCTTTCTTACCATACTACTGATTGTCAGGTTTACTGTAAATAAGGCTCGGGATACCTGTTAAGCATAGGCTGCACTGCTGTACTCTATTCATGCCCAAGGCAGCTGAGTGCAGTGAAATTCAACTTCAGGCAACATTTAATTGGCATGGCGAGGTACAGACTCAGTATCTCAAGGTGCTGGACTCAGCAGTCTGGTGCTGGACCAAACATTGCAAGTCAGTGTATACTTTCTAGTAAACAATATATGGTGAATGAGTCTGGACTGGAAAAGAAATTCCTAGATACATAACTGCACAATAATATAGTTTTAATGACCTATTTAAAAAATAAAACCTCCATAGGCTCTTGGGCAACTTAACATCTTTATTTTCTTCTACTGAATTTACTT